GGAAGAAAAGCCCCCCTGAGCTGCCACAAGAGGCCATCAAAAAGCCTCGCAGCAGCCTCGCTATGCACATGCTGGAGTCTGTGCAGGTTTTCCATGCACTGGGCAAGAAGAGGGATGAGAAAACTGACCTGTCTTCCTCGCGGGCCTTGGGAAACTCAAGGAACCCCAAAGGCCCCCAGCCACGCCCAGCTACCAAACCATGGCTGGTTTCTCCCCGCGAGGGCAAAGGTCCTGGGAAAACTCAAGTCAATCCCCCAAAACCACATCCAAGTGCTGACAAAGGGGCTCCCCCTCCATCCCAGGACAAGCTCCCTTCTCCCGGGAAGGTCAAGCTGGTGCCATTGGTTTTTCCAACCATGGACAAGCCTCAAGTTCGACCTGTTCCTCGCAGGCCACAGTCTTTGGCATCACGTTGGCCTGCTGTGAACAACCCTGCCAAGACTGCCAACACCTGCATCTTTGACCTGTCCTGCCAGACCACCTCGGCTAATGTCGACCAACTCAGCCGCACCAGGTTTGAACAACCCTGCCCGGCCTAGTGTCCCTCAGCCTCCTGCTTCTAGGCCTGGGCCCTACAAAACATCATCATGTGCTTCTTTCCAGTGGGAGCCTGTTCCTTCTGCTGTGAGTCAGCCCCAGACTCCGCTCAAGCCTCGCAACCACTATCTACTCCAAGATTTCGCCCTCCAACCAATTCCATGGAGGAAATCTGAGGTTCTGGGGCCAGTCATGTCAACACCCATCACAAAGGAGCAGAGGCCAGATCGAGAAGCCATGAAGAGGAAGGCTCAACTGGAGCGTGAGAATGCTGCCAAGTTGGGGGAAATGCAGCATTTCATTGAGAGGGAAAAAGAATGGACATTTCTCTGTGCTATGGCTATGTCATGTAGGAGATGCTGGCAGTGCTGGTGCCACTCTGGGTACCTGTTGTTTTTCCATAGAGAGGTAGATCCATAGGTAGATAGATAGATAGTTAAATAGATAATACATAGATAATAGAGAGGTAGATAAGAATTTTGAAATATTGATATATTTTATGACTTAATAAAAGCTCCATCCCTGATTGCAAGACCATTCCTACTTCTATTGCCAAAGCGCCAGGGTCGGTATAATGTGTCTTTCCTCTCAGCCCATTTAGTTTGCTCACGCTTCTGGCCCACCGTCTCCAAGAAGCCGTCCCAGCCTCCAGGCCTGGCGGGGCGCCCCCCCCCCTTCACTCTCATGCTCTGACAGCTCCATCTACCTCTCCCTGGGCAGGCAGTGGGGCAGCTCGGGACGTGCCCAGGCTGTGCCACCCGCCAGAGGTGCAGTGCCGAGGGTCACGCTCAGGTCGTGGAGAATGACACCTGTGGGTCTGAGCAGAAGTGGAATTTATTAAGGGCACCAGGAGGCTCAGCCTCTCAGGGGCCAGGGGACGCGCCCTGGATGCCATGGACCAGAGCAGCGTCTGAAGCTCCACGGGCTCCGCGGTGTCACAGCAGACAGACAGGCATGGAGCTGGGGGGCTGCCGGGTGCTCTTGGAAACCCAGCTGACTTTGGAAACTGGACATGGCCAGGCCACCATGGCCGCCAGAACGCAGGCTTCTCCATCCCCAGCACCTGCGTGAGGCCTGGGGTGTTGTGAACCACAGCCAAGGTAAAGGGGTGAGGGGGACACCACATCGCTCACACTGGAGCTAGGTGGAGTTGACAGCCAGCCGCTGCTCTCTCTTCGCCTTTGCTGCTGCGACCACTGCATGGGGAATGCAGCCAGAACTCCTCAGAGAACTGTGGGCGGAGTAGCAGCCGTCATGCTATGGACTCTCTTTGCTGTCTTCCCTCAACTCTCCGAGGTGACCCTGGTATCTGGGACCTCATCAAACCTGGTAGGAGCCTTCCAGATGCAGAGGGCAAAGTGTCCCCATGGGGTCTTAAGGGGTTACCTTAACAGACAACATGGGAAAGAGGATTGTCAAGTCTGTCTAATTGCTCGTCTACCATCTTGTAAGGAAACCATAGCAAAACCCCCTGGAGCAGATAAAGAAGCGATTCAATGCAATGTTCTTGACCATCCAGCCAGGGGTCATCCCTCCAACTGCTGACCTGGACACATCCCTGGGACCAAGGGAAGCTGGCCCCTGGCTTACAGGGAAAGGCATGGACGCTATACACTCCACAGGCCATTAGCGCTTGTGCACACGTCCCTTTGGGGCCCACCGGCCATGCGTTCATTGCTGAGATGACTCCGTATGTGACAGGAAGGCTTTCATCAAGGAAGGTCTGTCTCATGAAAGTCTATAAGCAAGTTGTGGAGATAGCACATAGTCTCCTTGGGAAACACGGTCCATCCATGTTCCCTTTTCTAAAGGCCTCGAGACTGGAGGGGCAGGGACGCCTCGCTCTTGTGAGCTTTCCAAACCAGGGCAAGGTTGCAAACTCAAGGAAAAGGAAAGCAGATCCAACATTCCTCGACTACAAGTCAACCAAGGAGCGGCACTCATGCCTCCAGGAGTGTGAAATAGACAGTGCTCTAGCCAAACCGCCCATCAAGAGAAGACACTGGACACCAGAGATGCTGAAGGACTCAAGCCTGTGTTTAGGGTGACTGAGCAAGACATCAGTCTTGCTATGGCATCTAATGAGGCCCCACCTTCTGCGGATGCGATTAAACAGCTCCTTGCAGCTTAGTCCTAATGGCCGTTGTACTTGATTTATAAAAAAAGAACAGAAAAGTAACAGAAAGATGAGAGGAAAGGAAAAGAAAGAAGAGGATAGGAGAGGGGGAGGGGGAGAAGGG